GATCGATTATTACTAGTACTATATACTATCTAATTTTATACTACTGACTTTATCTAGTTACTTATATAGTACCTAAGTGCATGTCTGCTGCATGCCTGTATACAGTTATCTTAACAACCACTTGCAGTCAGGGCACATTATTAAATCACTATGCAAACAAGGATACCTACTGAACTTAATATGATATCCCAAATGCCAGAGGTACTGTCTTCTGTAAATTGTACATATATGTCTCACTCACATGTTTTATTTGGTCTTGTTTCTTCTGCCTCTTAATCTAACTATATCTAGTATTACCTTGTTTTCCATATTTCTCATCTTTTTGTCACTATATCACTTCTAAATTGGTCCTACTCAGGTATGTTTGATCCTTATGATCTTTTCATCTTTGGTATGTCTGTTATTAATTTCCCTAAGGTGTTCTAACAATAGTCTAGAATCTGTAAAAAACCTGTATCTCAAGCCAGATCTGCTACCATCATTGGTTTTTTTGACCAATCTGTATCTTAAGCCAGGTCTGCTGCTGCTGTTTCTGCAGATGCCCTAGGTCTTAACATCATACAGTAACTTGATGCTGCATTTAACCTCCAACATGATGCTTTCTTCTATGATGGGAACTAAGACTTATTGTGCTTACAAACAGGACAATTCTGGTTATACTTAGGGAGTTTTTCTAACCTTAGTGATACCATACTACCATATATTGCAAGCTCTTAGCTTATTTAATAATATCTACAGGACAATTCTGGTTATGCCTCAGGAAGTTACACTAACTCTAGTGATGCCATACTACCTTGCAGATCTTATCTTACATTGGTTAATTGATTCCAGTCTTGTTCATTATAGACTTTCATATAGGTATGACCAGGAACCTGATTTGGTACTTTTATATTGCACAAGAAAGTTATATGCCAACCTCCAAAATTTTTTCCTTTTATAATTAGATTATTCGACTATGCCAGAGGTATTTTCAATTTTTGGTTAGACTAATTCTTTATCATAGTCTGTCTTTGTGTTTACTGCTTCTCTTACCATTCTAGTCTTGGTTACTTTCCGAAAACTCTCTCAATCAAATTCTTTTCTTGAATTCTAATTAAGACTTATTTGCACAATCTGTTGATTATCCTTCCAAGCAAGTACTCTACAAGTTGGGTGTAGGAATGTTGGTACTGCCTATATTAGTAGATATAAGGATGTTGGTGCTGCCTTAGTCTAAAGGACTTACATGCACAATCTTTCCATAACTATAACCTTCTGTAATAACCACTTGTTATATATAGTGCCTGCACTCCATGATTGGGTCTCCTTCTGGAAATTCTTATTTTCATCATTGTACTGTACTTGGACTTAATTACAGGACTTCACATTCAATTACAAGCTCCTTATTAGATTACAAAAGTTAAAATCTTTCAATTTTGTCTCTAGTCAGACTTGAACTGTTGACCTTAACTGTGAAGAATATAGAAGCTTAATTGCTAAGCTATGGGACCTACAAGTAAATTATTAGTATAATATAATATATATATTATTATTATTTTTTTTTAATGTTAAAATTCTTATTTTTAAGATGTGATATTTTTATTCAAGTATATAGGACATGATATGTCATCAGGAGCTACTTATACATTAGAGATTACAACTAGTTACACATGCATTTTTGATGTCTAATTTAAGTAGTTTGCTTATATATTATTATATAAGTTTTACATTAGATATCATACTTGCAAACCAACTAAAGGTTTTGTCTATTTAAACTCTTTGCATATGCAATCCTTCTTGTATCATGAGAACATCTTCAAGACTATATCTATTTAAGTTCCTGATGCTAATCAGTACCTTTAAAACTACTTTATCCTTAATAGGAAACTTACAAAAACCTTTATGTCCTATATATACTAACTTAGTTTTATGCAACATGCTATAGTTACCTAATACTTGCAGTTACAGAGATTATCTGTTTAACTGCTACATTACACTATTTCTATCTTTGTAAAGTTTACTAAAACTCCAATACCTATTTTTCTAGCATCTTTTCTATCATCTTCTACTAGTCACAACTCAGAACTAGCAGTTTTTTTCAGACTACCAATCCAGATGATTTGGTATAGTATACTTCTGTATCTTTTTTCTCTGTCAAGTCTGGCAGTCTGGTTGGTTATATGCTCTTTTACATATATTTGACATCTGGTTTAATCTTTAGTTTCTATAAAAATGTTTTGTAGACTTCAACTGGTCCAATTATATTATTAAAAGTTTATACTATCTTTTTATTCAAGAATTTTCAAGTGAGTTTTCATCACCTTGGTTTCTTAGTCTTCAACACTTGGTGATTTTATTATGGGTTTGCACCAAAGTCTTATACAACACTGATTAAGTATTCCTTTATGTATATGTAATATTACATTTTGTATAGATATTCTGAGTTTTCAATATCAGTAAGATCTGACTTGGTATATCTGAGTTATAACTGCATAAGGCTAACTAATTAACAGGAGACAGTTACTATAATATAGATATAATTTCCAAATTTTATCATAGGTAAGATTTGAACTTTAAACTTGCTACTTGGAGGATAACAACCCAACTACTGCACTAGAATCACTATTCTCTATAGTATATATATTATAATTATATTTTATATTATATTTATTATTAGTTATTAGTATAGTTATATTATAATATATAGTAGTTAGTAAAAAAATTTTAATTGACTATTAGAACTGTAATACAACTATATAATATTGAGTAACATCTATAATATTACTATAGTTATACAAACTTTAAATATTTTTATATAAATTTTATGTATCTTAGTATAAAATTACTATATCAAATATCATAATACAAGAATTTTTAAATATCTCTATACAATCTTTGTACAATATTAAGTATTTTTATACAAATTCAAGTACTTTAATACATGTTTAAAATGTTTTAAATACAAATAACAAATATTTATAAATATTGTTTTAACTATTTTTATACAAATATCACTTACTATTGCACAAATTTTTACTATTTTTACTAGATAAAAAGATATATAAAAAGCACTTTTTTTCTTTTCTAATTAATTTTAAATTTTTATATTTCAATTCAAACATCATAATCTTGTTGCTTAGTTGTATTATACTAAAAAGATTGCAACTCTATAATAATATATTACCTATATCTTTACTGCAAAATAGTTTTTAAACAAATTTGAATCAAGAAATTATTAAAATAGTTATAATAAAAATACTATAAATTATTGTCATAGCTGATGTTAAATTTGACTGATGTTGAAGTTTACATGATGATCATCCAATAGTAAGTTATGATTAGAAAATTCAAAACAAATATTAATTTTGAAAATACTGAAAATTTACAGAGAAACAACCTTTCATGCACTAGCAAAAAAGTTTTCTTTTTTGATTTTATTATATAACTCACTGACTCTAACCTTAATATAACCTTTAACACTAATTTAAACACTAACTCTAACATAAATGAACTCTGTATATAACAACAAAATTGTCTTATAATATGTCATGTAAACTTCCACATCAGCCAAATTCAGCATCAGTTGTGACAATAATTAAACTAACAAATGTTAAAAATATTATTTTTATAGATTTAGATTACAAATTATATATGTCTGAGTCTTTATTCTTCATATGTAATTTAAAAGCAAACTTTTTTTTTGTAAAAACTTCACTTGAATTTCAATAAGGTTAAAGGCATAACCTCACTTTAATATTTAAGAAAAAAAATTATTTTGATTTTTGATTTTCAAGCTATATATTAAAAACTACAATAATGACAATATAACAAAATATATTATCTTTATTATTAGTTTTAATTATAAATAGTAATGTATTTTGTTTATTTAACGTTAAATAATTAAACAAAAATTTTCTAATTTTACTATATATAATATCAAAATAAAATATGCTAATTTGCATGTATTATTAAAAAACAAGAGCACTTCTAAACGTAAGTGCAATTATCTACAATTTTAATATTTATAAGTTAGTTAAATACACTAAGATTTTTAATTTCACATGATAAAGTTATTCTCACTTGATCTATCGCTATATGAAATTTTATACAAATTAATATGATTTTTTTTTTATATAGCGATAGATTACCATAACGAAAAAAGCATGGGTTGTTACATAGGATAGTACTCATGGGATAAATATATAATTTACATCATATACTTTTATTAACATGCTTGAAAAAATCTACTTGAAGTCACCAATTTAGGCACACTAACCAAAATCAACCCCTGAAAATAGATCTTCCTTGCACGCGTTAGTAATTTTAAGTAGTTTTTCAGAACTTCAGGCACGACAAAATTACGGTCCAAATTCCCAATCTAACTATAAAAAAAGTACTTTTAAGAAATTCCGTACGTACGTATTAAAATAAGTTTTCCAGCTTTAAGCCTAGAAATTCTACGTAGTGATATTAGTCAACTAATATCACATTAACAAAAAAAAAATAAATTGCAAAAAATGAAATATATAGAACCACGCCGCTTATTTCTACACATTTCATTGTTCATCCTATCTAGTTCAAAACAGTTTATAACAAAAGAATTAATTTTTTTAAGAAAAAAAGAAGTTAAAATTTTATTAAAGATCTTACGTAGTAAGATGTACCAAAGAAAATACAGTGATATTACCTAATTAGATGAATCCGTTATCGGTTATTACTTGATTTATTGGTCACACAACAATGTTTTCCGCCTCATTAATTATAAAAACGATCGAGTTTTTTTTGCTAAGCCTTCTACAATCATTTGATCATTTTTTTTCAAATTTCTCCATTTTATACTATTTACACCATTTTTCTCATGTACTACGATAATAGTTATCGAATCACCTTTTAATGATAAAAACTGTGGTTAAAATTTCTTCTCTAAGGAATTATAACACACTAGGATTCATAACTTTTTTTTTTGAATTGATATTTTATCAGTCATGATTTTGAATAATTTCAAACTTTTAACATTTTTTATGTTAATTATTAATTCCCTATTTCTTGTTAATACATCTTCTCAATTAGTTAAAGGAATTCATTTTGATCGGTATGAAAAATGAAGAAAAAAAATATTTAAAAAATCAATTCATTGTTTTTAAAACCCTATTAATCCAATTATTATTTTAAAGGATTATAACAATTGTGTTAGGAAATTCCAATTATGAAGAATCTATGAAAGATCCTTACTTGGTTTATCTTGTATGTAATTCAATATTTTCTCTTCGTTTATTTTTAAAGATTTCTTTTTCTTTAAAGAAAAAAATTTCTTTTTGGTAAAATTAAATAGGCCAGTCAAGGAATATTACTTTCAAATTATCATGCAATTTGGCATCCATCTCAACCTAATTATATAGCAATGATTCGGTCTTCAAAAAGTGGTGTAGTATGTGTGAAATTTGAACATATCAAATACTAAAATTTTTTGTTTGAATCTAAAAATAAAATATGTACAATAATTTAATTTTTAAATCTATGTATATTTAGCTTACAGATTTTAATCAAGACGTAGAAGGTGCTTCACTTCCAGATTTATTGGAAGATAAAGGAATTTCATGGAAGGCTTATATGGAAAATTATCCTGGTAAACTATCTTGATGACATTTTCTTATCGATTATCAGCTTATTTACATCTTTTAATTTCGTAAAAAATAACAATATATATATACATATATATTTTTTTTAATATTTATGTTTATGGTGTAATGATGAATTAGGGTATGGATTTAGCGATAGTCAATCTTTTGATAAACTTTATGTCCGAATGCATAATCCGTTTATTTCAATGAATCAAATTCGAACGAATTCTTCAAGATATATTTACATAGTAAATGCAGATACATTGAAGAAAGATATTGAGGACGGAACTGTTCCACAATATGTTTTTTATTCGTAAGTTAAATCATATAACAAATAAGGATGGAAATGATACTTTTTTTTCTTTTAATAAATTCTCATAATTTTAATTATATATATTTAATTATATTTAATTAGACCCAATGTAATCAATAGTGGACATGAAACAAACGCAAATTTTGCCAGCAAATACTTGAATAATACATTTATTCCATTAATCGAACCATTGTTAATTAATTCTAGGACTCTATTAGTTATAACATTTGATGAATCATCTGCATACTTTGATAGTTTAACAAACTATAATCATATTTATACAGTCCTTTTAGGACCAAATGTATTGAAATCATTGAAACATGAAGACAGTGATCGATATGATCATTATAGTTTTGTACCAACTATTGAACAAAATTGGAATTTATCAACTTTAGGAAGCGGGGATGATACAGAATCAACACCATTTGGAGATGGATTATTTTTAGATGTTAGTAGTTAGATTGTTGGTAAGTTTTGATACGTTTTGGAAATGAAAAGTATATTAGATCTTTTATTAGATAATGAAAAAGATTGATGTAATTAATAAGTTAAAAAAAAAAATCAATTGTTATTATTGCATTATTGCATTTTATTTTTGGCAAATAAAAAAAACCTTTTTGTAAATATCTTTTCAGTATTCAATTATTGTATTCGGTTTTTACATTATTACGTATATACTTGATTTATCTCTTAAACTGTTTTCCAGACAAATTTGTTTGGATTTTTAAATTAAATTTAATATTTTTTAAATAATACAATAAATTATTAATAATATAGGGTACAGTTTATTTATAAATATTTTATTGAAATGTATTTTATAAACTTTATTAGAAATTTTTTTAAAATTAATAAGAAACTTTTAAGCAATAAAAATATAAAAATTTTGTTTAAAAATTTTTATTATAAAAAATTTCTTTAAATTTTTTAAGATTTTATATGTTTTTGAAACTAAAAAAAAATTTATTCTTAATACAAGTTTAAATTTTTACAAGTAAATGAAAAAGTTGTATTAATAAAAGTTGTTATTTTTTATATAAGTTATAATATTATATTAAAAACTATAAGTTTAAAATTAATATTTAAAAAGTTTGCTAAGAATTAATAAATAATTTTTTTGGTTAAAATTTTTTTTTAAATTTATTTATTTGTAACTTATAAGTAACTTAAATTTTTTTCTTATATTATAAAATTAAATATTATTATATTATAAAATTAAATATTATTATATTATAATTCTTATTTTTAAATATTATTAAACAAAATTTTATTTAAATATTTTAAAATTTAAAAAATATAGATTATAAATATATTTTTGTTAACTTTTTAAGCAAATTTGTTTGGAAATAGTTTACAGTTTAAGAAATAATACATTTATAATATATTTATAAGATTTTTATAAAATTTATTTATAATTTATTTATAATGATTAGTTCTTATTCAATACCAAAAAAAAAGATTTTACATTACATTCTTGTAGAGTGCCATCTTAGACTTGGACAACTTAGTACAATTTTGTATTGATGCAATATAAAAGGAAATACTTTAGACTAAATTAATATATTAAAGTATATTGAAGCATATTAAAGTGAGTTAAAAGTAAATCCTGTATTTATATATAGTAACTTAAAAAAGATCTTAAAGGGTATTCAAAAATTAACAGTCGTTTTGTCAACTTGTCCATCTTTAGATATTAATGATGATAAACTTTATGCTCTTGGTAATAATAAAGAATTTAGCCGTTTAGAAAGTCCGAATAAATTATGAAAAAAATGATTTTATAATATGTTGGAACTGAATCAGTTCAGTATGCGCATTTAGAGAGAACTTTTGTTTTGTTTCGCATTAAGGCTTACATGATCACTAATAATTTGCTTCCTAGCAGGATGAATATTTTAAGGATTACAGTTGTGAATAAAGGCCTATCTTGCCATTTTAATAGTATTCAAAATGAACTATACAGTACAGTAAAAGAAGAACCATCAAACTCATTAAACAGAGTTAGTTATTCAAGTTCTTAAGTTTTAACTTGCTCATCCAAAAAGAAAATTTTGTTTCGTAATCATATGTTTTGAACCTATAGCTCTCAATAAACTAATTCTAGACAGATAAACTTCTGATGATACCGTGTGACAGATTTTAAAAAGTTTATGCGTACTATCGCTATCGTTATCGCTATCTATCGGTATATTTCCTCCGAAAGTATATCCCAGCCACGTGAAATAACTGGGATATACTGTACTTATAACAATTATTAAAGGAAACCGATTCAGTGATTCACTATGATTGGTTTGCTCTCACGCACTTATCGTTATATATATACAATGTGATTAATTTAAAAATGGAAACTAATACAGTAATAATATATTTTAAAGAATACTAAGATTTAAAGATGGAAATAAATGTATAGTTAAGTCAGTTATTTTTACTATACGTATATTTGCTTTAGGTTATGTATTTACAATTTTAGCTTTTAAATAAACTCAATCCAAAGGTGGTTGCAATAATCCGTATCGGTATGGAGAAATTCTTTTGAGAACTGCAACCTCATGAATCACAAATCCAAAAATGTCTCTCATTATGTATTTTTGTCGAATATATCTTATTTTTAGACGTGGCTAAATGAACTAAGGATTAATTAATGATTGTCTAGTAGTATTATACGTAATTCAACTAAAGATAAGGATTGTTTAAAAGACGGTTTGATAATGTTAATATGCAAAACATAATATTTATAATGTGCAAAAAATAATATTTATAATGTGCAAACATAATATTTCAGGTTTTTTTAAAAAAATTTTAAACCAAATAATCCTAGCGCTAGTAACCTAGTACATAACAATCAAAAAAAAAAAAATTACGCAGTAACTATAGTAACTACTAATAATAAAATGAATAAATGAAAGATATTATCCAATCTTACAAATGATAAAAAATTTTCAACTAAATATTTACATATTTACATATTATTCTCTAAAAAATAATAATAATGATAATAATGATAACGATAACGATAAATCTTTATAGTTCTTTCAAATTCCCAATCAAACATCAGTCAAACAATCAATCAAAAGATCAGTCAAAAGATCAATCAATCAATTAGTCAGTTAACCAGTCAGCCAGTCAGCCAATTAGTCAGTTAACCAGTCAGCCAATTAGTCAGTTAATCAATCAGCCAATAGTCAGTCAATTAATGTTTTCAGAACTTTGAGTAAGATATTTATACATATATTCGGTAGTAACTTTTCGAGACTTCTTGGCATATATTTTCTGACTCTATTTATATCAAAGATCGTTAGAAATCAAAGATCATTAAAAATCAAAGACATAAAACAAACCTGTTTATTTCGTTTATCGTTAGAATATTCGTCGCCACAACAATTATTAAACCTTTGATTTTTCTCAAAGTCGTTGTACAAACGAATGAGATGTGGATTATCAAATATTATATCAAAATCCAAATTCTGTTCATCGTATTCATCATCATTAATCCATTCAGAGGAATGTTTCATTTTCTCAATATTAACTTTATTTTTACATTTTATAAAGGATTTTTTTATTTTGTGTGGAAGTAATTGAAAGTGAATAACAAGAAGAGAAAATTTTTCAGACATTTAAAGTTTGTAATTAATCAATAATTATTTTCGACAAATAATTTTCGCCAAATAATTTTTAACAAATTATTTTCAACAAATATTATTCACGATTTTCATGTAGAAAGAAAATTAAAAAAAAAAAACAATACTGATTGATATTTGAATAAATAGTATTGTGAAGATGTAAATGCGCCAAATGAAATTTGATGACTTTAAAATCCGTAAAATATAGAAAACTCAAAATCATGGTTTTTCTATAATGAAATAGGCAGGTTTACAAAGATATCTTTAGAATCCTTAACTTATTATATATGACAACATCATATTCTCGTGCCCAATTGAATCTTTGATTTAAAAATATTGATTGACTTAAAGATATCATGAAGCTTTTTATCAAAAAGTCAAAGTTTATGAACTAATAAATTCTACTTATGAATAGTTGCATAAAAAATTATGTCGTCGGAATATATTGATATTAATACGTAATCGATAGTAGTTTACCGTTACATTTTAACTTTATTATTGCTATATATGTATCAATTTTTTTTTAAACCACCTGATTTTAACCTTTTCGGAATTATGCCAATGACGATGCAAACAAACAAACAAGAAAAAATCATTCGATTCTGATCGATCCATTACAAGTCGGAGATATTCATAATTATTAGGTCCATAGTGAGAATGTAAGAATATAAGACTATACAACTATAAGAATGTAAGAATAGATTTTTATATATGCCTTGTATTTTTTATTTGTATAAATTATTAATATAAACTAATAAAATATTTAATACAGTAATAACATAATACAGTACAATTATTCATATAATATACATATAACCAACCAGTTAACTTTCGAACTTACTTAATATTCAATATATATAGTCTAAACTCTGTTACTATAGTTTCTTTAAAAAATCTTAATGACTCTAATTTTCGTAAACGATGCTAATGCATGTCTTAAAAAATCGATTTCATTACCAGTTCACATAAACAACATATAAATAACGAGGCAATGCATCTTAAAGTAAAAACTTTATCGGCCGTATACCTGCATAAAGACTGCGGAATTGTTCGGTTAATGCCGTATTTGCCGAAAAAAACCTAACTACGCATTGCCTTATTGGCCTTGGTGGCCTTAGTTGCCTTAGTGGACTTAGTAGCCTTAGTGGGTAGCCTTAGTGAGGAAATTTACGAAGTATCATATCAGAATATCAGACAAACCTGTATGATTGGTTAATAACGATAAAAGTAAACACATTACAGAAATCAGCGATTAGACTAATTTTTAATAATTCGGTCTAATAACGTCATCACAACTCAGCAAGATGAATTGACTAGAGATGGATGGACAAGGCTAAATTGTCGCATAATATAATTTATAATACATAATAAACAATTAACTTGCCAATCTCTAGAATCGGCGTTATAAAAATTATTTGATTCATGGTTACTACGTTTCTGAAACCAACTGTAATCAAAACCTTTAGTATTTTTAGACTAAATTAACATTAATTACATATTAATCAATATATTAATCAATATATATCTGCTTTTATTTTTAGCTAACTATTCACTATTCATTTGACAAATCGCAAATTAGTACAGTACTAAATATAAAAGTCATGTAGCTTAATATGAAGGCGTCAATTATCAATCATATTTCAAGATTTTCAAAGATCGCTACCTTAATAACTTTAATATGTAACTTGAGATATCGCTTACAAAAACTGCTATTTTTTTTCACAAAATTTTACGTACTAATTTTACCACTAATTTTTAAATATAATTGGTTAAATAAGTAGATACTGTAATTGCTTTTGTTTTATTAAATTTTACACATAATCACATCTCTAATAAAATACAGCATGCTAAGATACAAAGTGCACATACATTCATGAACATGAACACAATCAAGAAAACAAAAAATTTATAGATATAATAATGTGATAACACTATGTCTATAAAGTTTTTTTAAAAAAATTATCTTATTATTTATCATAAGAAAAGATATATTTATTAAACAATTATACGTAGCAAGTATATACATTCAATATTTAACTTTGTTAATTAGATTACTAGAAATATTCATTTCAAATTTTATTAAAACCAGAGGTTTATAATTCAAATTGAGTTAGAACCAAAAAAAATTCTGTATATATAACTCAAAAATCATGTTCATTGTTGAATACGATTATACCTTTTGTTTAATATTTAATTTCATCAATCTAGCGAGAAAAAAAAATTTTAATCCAAAAGTTTCCTCACAAACAAATTATTATTATTACTGTTCTATTTTTTACACATTAATTTATTTTTGTTTGTCTCTGTTAGTTAACTTCAAAGCCAAAAATGCAAACACGGCCCATCCAAATGCAATAAATAAAATATTCCATAAACATTGTGGATAATCATCAAAACTGTATGTGTGTCCTAGTGGTTCGGTCTTAATTTCATTCCATCTGTAAAACATCTGATTAGAATATATTCAAATACTCCTCAAGTATTTAGATATTCAAGTATATAGATACTCAAGTATTTAGATATTCAAGTATATAGATTCTCAGGTATCTAGATATTCAAGTATATAGATACTCAGGTATCTAGATATTCAAATATTTAGATATTCAAGTACAATCGTACTTGGGTTATATCCCCTTTTTTCCTATATGTTTTTGAATCTTTTTGAAGATATAACTAAGATTGAGATATAACTCAATATATAAAACATAAAAAAAAGGAAATTTATTTTGTCTAAATATGGAATATAACTAACCCAGGTATGATATTAGATATCCATGTATTTAGATACTCAAGTATTTAGATATCAAGATACTCAAGTATTTGGATATTCAAATATTCAAGTATTTTGATATTCAAATATTCAAGTATTTAGATATTCAAGTATTTTGATATTCAAATATTCAAGTATTTAGATATTCAAGTATTTAGATATTCAAATATTCAAGTATTTAGATACTCAAGTATTTAGATATTAGATATTCAAGTATTTAGATACTCAAATATTTAAAAATTATATTAAATAATACATACAGCCTAGGCTCTAATTCTTTAAGATATAATGCCTCAACTGCCCACCTTTGTGCTGAAATCTAGATGAAATAATTCAAGTAAAAAACTTATTTAAAAAAGATATATCAGATATATACAGCATATATATATATAGACTTACATCCCATAACCATTCTATGTAGGTAAAGGTACCACCTGACTCAACATCTTCCAACTTAGGTGTCGCTCCACTCAATACCATACCCCAAGCGAGTGCAAACCCTGTTCCAACCAGACTTAGTTTCTCCTTTGAGACCAGCCCTGATATGAAATACCCTAAATCGAAATGTTTTTTCTTTAATTTAATTGCGCAAGAAAATTTGACAGCTTGTTTTTTTTTTTTTAATTTAGAAACTTACCCATAGCCCAAGCGGCGATATACGTAAACAAAACAATAATATAAATTTGCAATAATCCTGCCCTAAATGAATAAAAAATAATAAATGCTAATGAAAACATAAGTGCCGCAACAACTAAACGAGGAATATCTGCTACTATTTTGGCTAGAAAATATGGAACTGTATGCATTCCTGCTGATGTGTCTCGCCAATAAACTACTTTTTCATATCCAAATGTTGAACCTCCAGCTATGTATTAAAAAAAAGAAATCTGTGAATTAATCATGCTTTTTTTTTTAAGTAAAATGATTTAATTAATACAGTACCACTAATCCCTGCAAATGTCACTCCGAGTGCCATAAACACCCCAACGTTCTAATAAATAAATAAATAAATAAATCATGAAATAAAAATGTATATAAATGGATTTGAAATTTCTTAGGACTTTTAGGGTTAGTCTATATAAACCAATTTCTACCATAAAATTGTAATTTTATCAAGAAATTTCAAATCCACCTAAATTCCGTTCCCACTCATAACCTATATATATAATTACCTGAATTGAATCCTTAGCTTGCAAACAAATAGGTAGAAGAACAAATGGTGTAATCTCACATAACTCTCTAGGTGCTTTCCCAATGTAACCCATATTACTAACCGCCAAAGAAATAAAAAGTCCACATCCGAGATGTAATAGTTGATCCAATAAAAATTGGATTCTATTTCTATAAAGTTGTATACAAGCTCTTTTAAATAACAATATAAATGCAACAAATATATTGGGTGTTTCTCGAATTGGATCACGTCGGTAGAAGAACAATGCACGTCTAAGGAATAAAATGAATTCCAAGGTTACATCTTTTATATATTCGAAAATATCTTGAATTACGTGAATAAATGGTAAACAGATTTCGATATAAAGTAATTTGAAATAGTTGCGACGAGTAGGTGACTTGCTTTCTTCATCAGGAATACCAATTTCTGTATCATGTGTAGTATGTGGTCTAAGTGTTGGCTTTCCTGTTTCACGATATTTCTCCCATGCTTCAAATAAATCAGGGACTGTAATGTCTTGTCGATCTAAAGGCTTGACTTTTCCTGCTGCTACTTCCATCATAAAATCTGCTGGGCTGCATTTTAATATATAAAGTTATTCATTATTTGTAATCCATTGGGATTTAGTTGAAATAGTGATCGGGTGACTAAATACCTTTCTTCTTCTGGGCAATGAAAACCAAGACTCTTAAAGTATTCCAATGCTTCATTTGTCGGTCCAAAATATACAATTCTTCCCCCTTTGCCCAATAATAAAAAGTCATCAAATGTTTTAAAGGCTTGTGGAGATGGTGAATGAATAACCGCGGCTACTGTTAATCCTTGACCATGTGCAATCTTTTTCAACAAACTACATACTTCAAGTGCTGTAGCTGAATCTAATCCTGAAGTTGGTTCATCCTAAAAATAATCACATCTTTGGTTAAAATACCAGATTAAATAGTGAGAAATTTTAATTATTACCAAAAAAAGCACGGACGGCTCAGCAACTAATTCCATTCCAATATTCACACGTTTACGTTGCCCACCAGAAATTCCACGTTGTTCTATTAACAAATTTTATAAATTAAACTATTGAAATTATATTCGAAAATAATTGATTTGATATTTATTTACCTTCGTTTCCGATTATCGACTCCATCACATGACTCAATTCTAAAAATTGAATCACTTCAATGACTTTTTCTTTCTTTGCTACTCTATCCATATCATTTGGTAACCTCATTAATGCGGAGTGCTATTATTTGCAAAAATATATAAAATAGTCTTTAATACAAAATAAAACAATCACTATATTATCAATATTATATCAAAAACATACCACTAATATGTCACGTACAGTTAATTCGCGAAGCATCACATCTATAAAGTTTATGAATTAAACTTAATATAAAGTAATTGAATATTATATAGTAATTAAATTTTCAAAAAAACAAATAAAAACTAATAGAACTCATACCCTCTTGAGGCACGAAACCAATAAGTTTTCGATATTTTTCCAGTGGTTCAGTTACACCATTTACTATATAATGAATTATTTATATAAATAAATTTAATTATCTAAAACAAAAATATTTTCTTTTTTAACTACCTTTTACTGTGCCACTTGTCCGCTTTGCCTTGCCAGTCAAAAGTGACACAAAAGTAGTTTTACCCGCACCTAAATAGTAATTATTCAATCATCTGTATTAACGTTAATTTTTTAATAATAATTTACCAGATGGTCCCATAATCGCGCATGTTCTTCCATGTGCAAGTTTTCCAGAAACTCCCTTTAAAAGAAAAAATTATTAAATATTCAAAAAATAAATATATGTATATAAATATAAAATTAAAATAAGTTTATTATAATTATTATACCTTCATAATTTCAATACCAGATGGTAGAATTAATCCAAGATTTTCAAATTCAATATCAAAAGTTTTTTTAACTGGGTCTAAAGTTCTTTCTAATCGTAATTTTTGTTCTGTTAATAATCTATGATATTTTGCATTCTTCAACTGATCCCTTTTTCTTTTAACTTGGAATAACAATAGAATTACTATTGCGATAAAAAAAACTAATATAAAAACCATGAATTTATTTCCTTTGCTTGAGCCTGCAGGGCATAATGCTAGCTGATCACAAGATACCGGATATACGGTACCAAGGCTACAAAAATTTCCTAAAATTTTTTTAAATTAACAATAACGATTGACGGATTAATGCAATAATAATAATAAAATTCAGAACTAATTGTTGTTGTTGTTGTATGTATGCATACTTACCCTTTGGGCATAGTGTTATGTTTCTGGCATCTTGAGAACAGTTATAACCTTCGCAACAATATACTGGTTGTGCTGTTGAAAATAGATGTTATTATTACTTAAAATATATACTTTACATAATAATAACTTTACATAAAAACTTTTACATAATAATTAATATATAATAATTAATATATAATAATTAATATATAATAATTAATATTTAATAATTAATATATAATAATTAATATATAATAATTAATATATAATAATTAATATATAATAATTAATATATAATAATAATAATAATAAATATTTAATAATTAATATATAATAATTATAATCATAATCTATCCAGATCTTATTATTTACCAGAATTTTCCGGGCAAAAAAATCCGGGGCTACATTTGATCATTGTCGTGGAGCTATTAGAAGTACTGTTAGGCCCAAGACAAAAATATCTAAATTTTTTTTTTTTTAAAAAAAAAAAAAAAACTCCCAATAATGAATATAACTAATAAATCACCAATTTATTACATAAATATATTTTGATTTTTACCCAGCCGGACATTCCCAATGAATTAATTGACCATTGATATTAATATTATCTTCCGGCCGAGGAGTTGAAATATATGTGCACTACAAAAAAAAAAATAAAATAAAATATTAATATATATAAGTCTATTTTATTGAATCTATATTATCAAAAAATCATTGAAACAAATATTCTCTAACATTAGTGCCTGGATACGTTTTATTCCTGATCAACTCAGAATAAAGTCTAGGATCTAGTAAAGAAGTTATATCGGATGTGTTTACATTAATTAAAGTTTGATTTAAGCTATTAGTAGGACTCGGAAGTGGTAATAATGTTAGAGTTGGAGTTTGAGATAATACTAATGTCAATAAAAATATAACAACAAATGATAAACAAAGAAAAAGTCGATTCGACATTTTTAATGCGTTTTTTTTGTGTGATTTTGTTGTAAAGTATAAAACGGTATTTATTTCGTTTGCCACCAACAGGCAAATAATTTTATAAAAAATTTAGTAAATAACCTTATTTTTATTTTTTTAAATTCTCTTACTTTAATAATAAATTACATAAATTACGGAGAAGCGTTACATCCCGTTATTACTTTTTTTATCTAAGCCTTAAAAAACACAGCCTTTAACATCGCAGTTTTACTAAATCTATATGATAAATATAAAGTGCTGCAATCGATCGCGATTACGATACACTGCCATATCTTACAATTTATGTAGAAATATAAGCCTCTCGTAAAAGCCTTCTAGAATTGTAAATTCTAGAAAATTGCATATTAACTGGATTGTTTTCAATTTAGGTAAAATCTGCGATCTCTTTCAAAAAAATCGGGCCGGGATATAAAATGTTTCTTCCAAACTTTTAATATCAATTTCAGTTGTATATAATCACGTGGTTTATTTACATGTTTCACTCAAACTTTATTATACTTCATTATATGTAAATAGAACTAAATTGATAAGAATTACATTTTTTTTTAGTAAAATTAAAAGTGAATATTTTGAGACCCAACAAATCTAGATACAACACGTCGAAAACCAATAATAATAATAATATAACCGTTTAAAATGTCAAAAAATTAAGTTGCTGCTTTATAATGATTCGAGAATCTATGATCCCCGGTTTTCCTATATAGCGATTATTATATTTATATATTTTTTAATTTGATCATTCACAGATAATAAAATTGCATTTAATGTTGTGAATTTGGTTTGTTATATATATATATTTTTTTGACCAATACATGAATTTTCGATTCAAAAGTGTCTCTTCGTTTTCATATTCAATATATTTATCGAGAGTCACATGTTCAAACATGTATTCCAATCATTGTTTATAGCTTTTATTAAATCAGAAAGATTATTGTACTTCAATTCTATTACTGAATGGTTTATATCTCCATCTCCCTTTGGTTTAGCAGACATAATTCGAGAATTTGATTAAGGCCATGATATATATTACCTAATATCCATTTATTATGAGACCATACCTCTCCTTCCCACCTAAGACCAATCAAAATGCACAATTTTGTTACACAAAAATTGAATATATATATATTCAGTGTTGGTCAAATTAGTGATCGACGGCAGCCGCAGCTAAGCCGACCTAGCCGGCTTAGACAGCCAATGTGTAATATGATCGACTGGCTAATGCGGCTAAAGATCATATGATTTAGTTTATGGTTTGATTCCAGTAAATTCGAAATTTTTCGGAAGTATGGCTGTTCGCCAGCCGATTAGCCGATATATTAGTCGGCTGGCTTAGCCAGCCGACTAAAACCTTACAGCTTAAATCACTATGATCGACTATAAATTTGCTGGTCATTGGTCGAAGGGTTTCTGGTCAAACTGGTCTGATCAAATTGGTCAAATGGTCTAGCAATATGACACAATCAAGCAAATTTGATAATAGTTATTTGGTCTAATTGGATAATTTTTTCTTATAACTAGACAACTTGACTAACTTGATCAATATTAAAGATGCTTGAACAGACTGGTCATTGGTCAAATTGGTCTGGTCAGCCCAATACTGATATATATTATATATTTATATTATACTACAATTATGTTTAAATAATTCATGATTTTGATTGGTTATTATTATAAATTATTATAAATTTGTTTAATCTAAGATGTTGGCTAACTTTACTTTCAAAAATATTATCTAATATTTATTATTGCTCTTATTTTATAATAATAATTTAGTAATGGTTTTTAATATTGCTTCTGATATAGATAATAATAAAAATTTTTTGATTTAAATTTAAAAATATTTTTTCAAGCTCATTAATAATATTATAAATATTTCTTTTGTAATTATAATATCTATATCTTTAAGTTCTTTAAAAGTAGTATTTAATTTTTTAGTTAAAAATTTTCCTTTTTTCATTTTTCTTTTGCTAATTGATTTAAATTCATAAATTTGGTTTACATGTAATTTATTTTATTAGACTTTATAAAATAAAAAATTAAAATAAGCATCACATATTTCTTATAATAATTGTCATTAGGGATAGTTAAAAAAAAAACAAAAAATTAGAATAATATATAAAAAATACATATAAATAATTCAGTTTGTAAGTTTTGAAATTTCTTTATAATTTTTTCTTTAAAGTTAAATAGTAAACAAAAACTCAGAATAGTTAAATGTAAAAAATTATATAGAACTTTAAATAATATAGCATATATATATGATATTATAAGAATTTAAAAAGTAATTAATAAACATTTAAATAAAATCAATAAGCTAAAATAAATTATATTTAAAATTTAAATATTAAAATAAAAAATTTGAGTAAAAAAAATAAATTAAATAAAAAAAATTGTATATTTATTAATTAGATACAAATTATTAAATATATACAAAATAAGTTTAATAAGCTTTAATAAAATTTGTAAAAGTTTTACTTCTTTTCTAATATTTTTGCTAAGATGTAATTAGTAAAATGTATATCTAATTTCTATTTGACTATACTTTATAATATAAAAAAAGACAAAGTTAACATTTGTTAATTTTATATATTTGAATTAAAATTTTAATAAAAAATATATAAATAATTATAGTATTTATACATTTTTAACAAATAAATATTATCTCTTAATCTGTAAGCTTTTCTAGACAAATTTGTCTAGAAAATTATTAAAAACATACTTATGATCTATATTTTTTAAATTTTAAAATATTTAAATAAAATTTTATTTAATAATATTTGAATATAAGGATTATATTATAGCAGTATTTAATTCTATATTATAAAAAAAATTATATATTACTTATAAATTAAAAATAGACAAATTTAGAAAAAAATTTTAATTAAAAAAATTAGTTATTAATTTTTGGCAAATTCTTTAAATATTAATTTTAAGCTTATAGTTCTTAATACAATATTTTAGTT